TGAAGCAACCAGAGATTTAATGATGAAGACTCTGGGTTCTGTAGTTCACGTTTTACAGTCCTGAATGACTCACTGCACATCCATATAATTTATTGAAGAGGAGAATGCACTTTACATTTAGGCTGTTGCTGTTTAATTTTTTACATTGTTACTGTGTTATGTCATGAATAAGGTTTTTTACCTGCTGGGGGTTTGATGGATCAGCTGGACGATACAGTCAAAAACAGACTTCATTCATCATATGCAAGAATCCTAGTTGAATTTCTGTTTCCACTCATATTTTTGAACCAAATATTGAAAACAGCTCTAATAGACTGGATAAACATTACTAGTGATGTGACGTTCTGTATCGAGGCTTCAAAGCTTGTGTCGAGTAATTGAGGGGGCGTTTCCGCGATGAGCGTAACGAGGCTTGCTTCATTTATGGGAGGAGCTGAAAATGATGACGTCCGAAGCCTCGCTGCCCGGCTGTACCACGTGACTGGTTCAGGAAGTGGTTCGAACTTTGCCGCGAGCTATGACAGCGATATAAACCCCTCAGTCTTCATTCAAAATGTAGGTGTTTGATGGAGAGTTGCGGTTAGTGAGAGTTTGTAGACAGTTTGGAGGTTTATGAGAGTGAGGAGAGAAAGTCAGGAGAGAATGGAGCCAGCTAAGAAGAGGAGGATGTCCTCCCCTGTGTGGGAACATTTTGATCTTATATCTCCCAACAAGGTAAATTTCTACAGAAGATGTATTTTCATAATACTGATGGTGCAATACAATTTATGTTAAGCTGTCTTTACTTTTGTACAAGGTGAAGTGTTTGCTATGTGCCAGGGAGCTGGGATATAACAACAACACCTCATCCATGCTTAGGCACTACAGAGCTTTGCATGAGAATAAGGGGAACAGCGATTGTGGAGCAAGACCAGGTGAGCCATCAAATGCCATGATAACATAGCATGCAGTAATGTTACTAAATGATATATCAATATCATACAATGCAATAAGTTACATGTGTGATATTTATGTTTGTGCTTTGTTTTTATTGTCTTTCCTCAGGAGAGCAATCTCAAATAGATGAAGACCTGGTTAACATGGTGATTGAGGACTCCCAGCCATTTAGCATTGTGGAGGACAAAGGATTTAAAAGATTTGTTAAATCATTAAATCCTAGCTATGTTCTCCCCACTAAAAAGGTCATAAAAGCAGTGAAAATTTAGTTTTTACAGAATAAAATGTGAACAGGCACAGCCACGTCGTACTTTTAAACAAAATGTTTTTTCTTTCCTTTAGGCCCTGAAAGTCATGGTGGAGGCCAGGTACCAGGAGATGAAGGAGAAAGCTAAGGCCAGCATTGAGAAAGCAGCAGCTGTGAGTCTGACATCAGATATGTGGATCTCCATCAACACAGAGGCCTATCTTGCAGTCACCTGCCATTTTGTTGATGAGTCCAGCACATTAAACACCATTGTTTTAGGAGTGCAATATTTTCCTAATGCACACACTGCAGAAAATATTGCACAAGTGAAAGGCTCACTCATGACAGACTGGGCAATTACTGACATTAACCTTTTAAATGAAATTTTTGATAAGGGGACCATATATACAAACAGGTTGTTAGCCTGCTCTCATAAGAGAAAGTTAAGATGAACATGAATGTCCCAGATACTTCAGAGGATGAGCCACGGTGATGTCTGTGCTCTAGTCTGAGCACTGACTGATTTACCAGCACAAGAATGTCCACCATGTAGCAGAAGCTTTTTAAAAACATATTAAATTCCATATGCTCCATGTGTAGTGCATCTAATTGGTAAATGTACTTGCTGTAGTCGAAGGGGTGACAAGCAATTGTATTTATTTAGAGAATAAAACATTAATTCTATTTATCTTGAAGTATGCTCAAAAACCCAGGTCAGAAAATCTCAGAGAGTTGATTCTGTTCATCTGGACGTAGCATTCTCAGAGAACGTTTCATCACTCATGCAAGTGACTTCCCCACTCTCAGCTGACTGCAGGTTTCCCCAACCTTCAAAGCAGCATAACAACCTTTTATCCTGACCTTTTACCATTCACAGAGTTTAGGAATCGCTGCAATCATTTATCTGTGACCAGGACAATTTGAAAAAAAAAACAATTTTTGCTTATTGTTAGGCAATTATTTGAGTTTTGTTTGTTATGCAACTTTACTATTTATAAGGTTGGGGAAATCTGGAATCAGCTGAGACAGAAGAAGTCACTTGGATGAGTGATGGAACGTTTCTCCCACTGAAAAAGTTACGTCCAGATGAACAGAATCAACTGTTTGTTTTATTTGAAACAAAACAAAAAAACAAACAAACATAAGAATACAGATAAAAGTCAAATATTCCAGATGTCCACCACATTAACATACAAATTTGTAAAACATTTTATGTGTTCAGATTCCTTTGTATGTGGACTGGAGCACACATTTGTGAGCACCGAAAACTGCACACAAATCCTTGTACTCATTTATAAATCTTAGTTAACACTTGTGTATGACATCATACACATTTGTAACCCTGCTGAGACTAATTTAACACTTTACAAATAGGACAATGAAAGGAGGAACTACTTCCCAAACTGGCATTTCTCATGATACAACTTAACAAAACTTTACACATACTATTGTCATGGTCTGGGCGAGCCTGAGTAACTTTCCTCAGCATCAGCTCTCCTCCTCTGGGTGGAGCCCTTCCTGCCCCTCCCCGTTCCTCAGCTGCAGGCAATTATTCTGGCAGTATTTAGGAGCAGCACACACAACGAGTCTTCGCCAGATCGTCTGCTAACCTCAGTTAGTTCACAGCCTCATGTTTCTGTGTATCGCTCAGTGTGCATTACTTACCTCTCTTCCTGTCTCCTAGTCGGTACCTGGACTCGTCATTCCAAACCCTGCCATAGCCTCGCTTCTGGATTCCGGTCAGCTGCTGCTTAATCCTTTTCAGACAAACTGCCATTCTCACCTGCCTGCCTCCCTGCACACCTGTATTGGACTCAGCACTCGCCTGGACCTCGCCTCGCCCCCACCTCCAGCTAATCCCCGCCTGCGAACACGTAAGCCATCCCAGCTTGTCAAATGGGGAAACACTCACAACTCCTTGGACTGTTCTGATTTTCCTCTCCTACGTTTCAGTGCCCTGGTCTGCCACAGTTTCCACCTGCCCCGCTCCAGTCTCAGCAGTTTAGTGACCTGACTGTTCCATGCTCGCCTTAGCCCCGCACCTCACAGACACCACGCTTTTGCACAAAGCTTAATCTTGTTTTTTGTCTTGAATATTTATGTTAGGAATTCTTGTAAATAAAAGTTTTTGTTTTCGCAAATCACTTCGGGTTTCCGGTCTTTGGTTCTGCGCATGAGTCCATTCCACGCCACGGGCCTCTGAGCCATGACAACTATACACAGAGTGCTCCTTACTTTTCTTCAGAGCCCCACTGGTAAGCATAAGGAGAAGTAAATAAATGACAAATAAAGCAAGCTGTAATAATACTGTAAACTAATTTTAATATTTGAAGTATGATCTTACCTGGACATACCACATTAGATCAGAGGAGTAATAGATACAGAGTCTTCATGTTGCTGTGTTTATCATGAGACTGGATTTTGCTGCCTTCAAACTGCGGTAAAGCCAGTAAAAGTAATTACTGTTCTTTTATTACATTCCAAAGGGGTGAAAGACACTTAATCATGCAGCCCTTCAGCTTCTGAAGCTATGGCATGAATGTTTGGAAATCTAAGCTGTTAAAAGAGACAACTTATTGATTGTAAACTTGTCCATCCATTCTCTTCCACTTATCCTATTCAGGGTCATGGGGGGGACTGGAGCCTATCCCAGCTGTCAGAGACAGGGTACACCCTGTTGCAGGACTAACACAGACTAACCATTCACACTTATGGGCAATTTAGAGTCACCAATTAACCTAACTCCACTAGCTGCATACCAGTAGGAGCTGGTCAGATAAGCAGCTCAGAGAATGCACACAAAGGCAAGGAGAACATTCAAATTCCACACTGAAAGGCCACAGGTCAGTGGATTTGAACCTAGGACCTTCTTGCTGTGAGACATCAGTGCTAAGCCCCGTACCACTGTGCTGCAAATGTTTGACTTCTTATCCAGAGTCAGAATGTCAAACCTTCCAGCGTTAGTTGTTATAGTTAATATTGTTAGTTAATAATTGGCTATGGTTCTGAGTATATTTTACCAGGTCTCCTGTAATTTAAAGAGATACAGTTTGCAAAATATACTTGAATATGAACAGTACAAATATACATATACACAGAAATGTGCTTTTCACAACATTCCCGTGAGATCATATATGACTGTATTTCAATTTAAATTGCATTTTCACTTTGTATCTGTTTAGGGTTGAATTACATTTAAATATTCTGTAATCTCTTGGACTGTTAGACTTTTGTGTTTTCAGATATATGCTTATGGTTCACTAAAAACAAACAAACAAAAACTAACAATCTAATTCAGCAGTCTTTAGTTAGATATCTTTAAGCTGACTAGTTGTCCCGGTAGTAAATGAAAGATGTGTTTGTGTAGCCAACACACAAGCCCGCAACATAAACTTATAGACTAATAGACCTACACCTTTTATAGTTTTTTTTTCTTTCTTTTTTTTCTGGGATGTCACACAACCCAGGAAAAAATAGTATACATAATGGGCTTGGATTGACAAGATTATGAATGAAATGTGCACTATTTGGAAGCAGCCCTCCTCCTCCCCTTTCGACAGGTTGTGTGTTTGACTTCAGCACAGGAGCAGCAGCAAGCCGGCGCACCAAAGGCCCTCGCGCTCTCTTTTCGGATATATGTGTGTGATATTATTTAGAAAACACATCGGTGCAAATTATAAGTCTATATCATAATGTCTTCAGTTTTTGTGTTTGTTGGAGGGGCGTCAACGTTAACAACGTCATCACGATTAAAGTTTTTTACGAAATCAATCCATCTGGAGCGCAGAATAGACAAGCTTTGGACAAACTGCCCGAAATGCGTTGACAGAGACATTTCAGGGATTTTGAGTCATTCTGCGCTCCAAATGGATTAATTATGTTACATTTTTTAATCGTGTTCATCGTGATGACGGTGTTAACGTTGACAGGCCTAGTTTGCTGGTTTGTTTTTATTTTGTTTTATTTTGCGAGCTGGTTATTAAATACCGCTGCAGCCAGCCAGAGAATCCCCCGCCGGCTCGCCCCTCTCCTCCTTGTGGCAGGCAGCAGGCGCAAACTGAGGGCGCCTTTACTCCCCGCAAATGAGTAATAGAAAACTGATCGGTGCCCAAGCAATCCCCAAAATGCGCTGGCATGATGTTGGGGCAGCATGGGCGCGAGCAACTGTTTTTTTTTCTTTTCTTTTTTTCGCCGACGCCATGATGCCGCCCCCCACCACAGTGACGCCCTGGGCAACTGCCTATGTCGCCCATATCAAAAACCGCCACTGATACCAAGTACGTCACCTTCTTGTCCTGCGCCATCCACAACATACTCACATACTCAAGTAATGTTACTCGAGTTGTATTATACTTGATTAGTTGGGAGAAGTATTGAGACAAGTTCTGAAAAATGCACCGACTTCCCAGATAAACAGATGTCCCCATTGGAAGTCACCAAGAAACTGCAGTAATGAATATTCACTTTATTGCGGCGTTCTCCCTCTTAAGTCATGTAGTATCTCCAGGTAAGCTCGTATTTTATCTAATTTTTTAAAACTGTCTCTTGGAATTGAAACTGAGGCATCTAACTACTTTCACTTTCATTACAAAAATCGTTGGCGTAAACTGCAAAATTTAAAATACCTGCATACACGAATGCTTGTTATTTCATAGAATTAAAAACATTTATGCAATGACAATAACATTGATATATATTTAATTCACACACTAGAATGGTTCTCAGGAGAAAACAAAACTGACGCTTTATACATTTACAGTAAAGTTAAAAACAAGCTTTTCGTATCAGAATCATCTTTCACTGAGCACAGCAGTAAGTGACTAATGCCACTTCGAGATGAGATCAGACGAGAACGGGAGACATGCTTTTTTAGCAGAATATTTATGTGTGTGTGTGTGTATTTCTGATTTCTTGAACGAGGAAATATATTGAAATTACTTTTAGATATTTAAAATAAATACTATTCTTAAAACAGGAAAAATATTACAGTCTTGTTTTTCTTAAGCAAAATGGAAATAAACATATAAAACAACCTCAAATCTATATTATTTTTATTTATTTATTTCATGCAGTGAAACACTCCCTGAAGTTGATTTTCATTGAATCATCTGGAGTCCAAGACTTTGTGGGTGTCCTGTGGGCTGATGAAACTGAGCTGGTGCACTGCAACACCAAACTCAACAAAGCAGAACCAAAACCAAACTGGCTTAAAGAATTCATGAAAAGCAATCAAGAACACAACGACTTGTACACTCAAGAGTGTCTTCATAGTCAACATTTTTTTAAAGACACATTAAATGTATTGAGAAGGAGTTGCAGCCAAACTGAAGGTACTGTTGTAAAGATAAAATGTTCAGAAGCTTTTGCTTTGCCCAAGCAGAACAAGCTTGCTTTGATATCTTCTTTCTTTCTTCCTTCTGTCCCTCAGGTGTTCACACCCTTCAGAGAATGTATGGATGTGAATGGGACAATGAGACTGAAGAGGTCAAAAGTTTTGATCGATATGGTTATGATGGAGAAGACCTTATGGAATTTAACCAGGAGACACAGACATGGCTCATTTCAACTCCTTGTGCTAGCATTGTCAAACACAAGTTAGACAATCAGCAAATTAGAATAGCAGATATTAACCATTACCTCACAAATGTGTGTTCTAAATGGCTGAAACAGTATCTGGACTATGGAAAATATTTTCTACAACGAACAGGTGGGTTTCCATCACATAACGCTGTTTTGGGGAAACAATATCTACAGGGGTTATTCATTTCATTTCAAATGAAAGGAATAAAGGAATATATATGCAAAACACAAAGCTGTTCTCTATTAAGGTATAATGCCTTATTTTGGTCTCTTTAGACTGGCCTTCAGTGTCTCTCCTCCAGAAGACTCCCTCCTCTCCAGTCAGCTGCCACGCTACAGGTTTCTCTCCTGCCCGAGCCGTTATGTTCTGGAGGAAAGATGGAAAAAAACTTTATCAATTCACGGACCGTGAACAGATATACCCTAATCAGGACAGGACGTTCCAAATGAATGTCGTCCTAAAATTTTCTTCAGTCACACCTGAGGAATGGTCAAGGTATGACTGTGTGTTTCAGCTTTCTGCTGTCAAAGAAGACATCATCATCAAACTGGACCAAAAAGTGATCAAGAGTAACAGAGGTAAGAGTGAAGCCCAAAATAATGGATTTAGTGTGTGTGTTCAGGACCAGATCTTGGGAAAGTAATAACTTTAAAGCTAAGAAATCTACATGCTTCATGTTTTCATTATAAATCCTTGGCAAAGAAGTAGACCAGCAGACAAATAGAAAAGCATTTTTTGTGTGGTAGTGTGGATGTAATAACTGTTATACATCTATACAGATACACAACTTTGGATTGATGGATGTCTTGTCTTTCCAGATTATTTAATCTGTACAAGTCCCGAAGAGAACAATGATTATTACATCAAAGTTTCCGTGTTTTTTTTTTTTGTTCTACTCATCATAGTCCTTGTTTTCATCGTGTACAAGATTACAGGTGATGTGTATATCTATATGGTATTTTCATTAAACGATTATAAAATTTTATTGATTCAGTTTACCACCCAAAAACAGTTAATTTAAATCCAAAGCATTCATGATGTTGTGAAAGAAAAGTTAAAAGAACAAACATATATTAAAATATTAAAGAGAGTTAGATTTAATTTGTTGTTCAGTTGTTGGTTTAACTTTTTATATCTAAGGTTTAAGATTATGGTTTGAGTTTGTTTGCCATCTACAATCATTTATAGAATTTTCATCAGTTTAAAATACCCCAAATTAAAATTATTTCAACAGAAAAACTTTAATGATGAATCAGATATGAATTGAACCAAACCTGTGGTGACTATCTGCAGTATAACATAAATTTGATGTCAAGACTTAAGTCATTATATATTTTTGAAGACTGGATATGGTGATTAACACTTTGTTTGTTTGTGTCTGCAATTCCAGTTGACGAAAGCAATCAAAAGAGTAAGCATGAGTTAAATTCATTTGAAATAAAAACTGAGTTAGATAATTTGTTGAGTAAAAACTTTTTTTATTTTTCCAGAAGACTTGGAGACATTGAAGTACTCCCCCATCGCTGCACTGGTTCTTGCTCTCATCCTTTGTTGTTTAACTGGAGTTCACTTTTACAAAACGAATACTGGTAAGCAAACAAAACATTTAACTCAAATCTTCACATTATATACATTATATAAATAGAACCTCAGGTCAGTACAAAAATTAACATTTGGTTGTTCAATGTGAGATGAACAACATAACATGACATATGTCAATTCAATTCAACTGTTTTCATATAGCACCGAGTCACAACAACACTCAGCCCGCTTTATGTTGTAAGTCAGAGACCTCAAAATAATACAGAGGAAACCCCTAAAATCTGTCGACAACCTATGAATAAGCATTTGGTGGCACTGGGAAGAAAAAAACACATTTTTGACAGGAAGAACCAAACTCAGGAAGGGGCAGTTATCTGCTGCAACCAGTTGAGGGTGGAGACAAACAGAGGGAAACGGGCCAGAAGACACATTATGGAAGACAGCCAGAGTTTTATCTGTCCTAAGCACTGGAAACCTAAGTTCTGCTGTTTTACTCTTTTTAATGAGAAGAGACTATCTCCTGGTAATCCTTTAAAACTATTTGTTCAGTCTTTTTCTAATTGTTTTGTTATCAGCTTTAACATTAGAATGGTAACTGAGGCCTGTAAAGTAAAAAATCTAGCTCTTGGTTTGTTTGTTTTTGTGTGAACATGGCACAGTGTCATGATCCTGGGTTTTCAACCAGCGTTTTCCATTCTTACAATTTCTGTCTGTTCTCTGTTTCAACTAATTTAGGCTTGGTTTAATATTATGCTTTTGCTTAGGCTGTTTTCTCCTTTGTGTTTGTTTCTAGTTCCCCTTAGAGTGACAATTTATGTTTTAATCTCTATTCTTAATACCATGATTAGCTGGGTTGTGCTCTTGACTTCTGGTTTGTATTAATTCCTTATTACAGTTATCAGCAGTTCTCTGTTCCCATTGTCAAGTCATCCTCGTCCCTGTTTGTGTTTCCGTTTTTTGTTATTTCCCATTTTATTTTTTTAGTCTTTGTCCCCTGTGTGCTGTTTAATTTTTCCATGTCTTGTCCTCCTTAATTGTTGTCAGCTGTTTTCCCACCTATTGGCCATGTGCTTGTTACGGAGCCCCGCAGGGGATATGGGAGAAAAAAAAATTAAGACGGACTTTTGCAAGATCTCGCAAAAGTCCGTCTCAATTTTTAGCTTGTTGTCCTATGGCTCTATTTATTCTCTCTGTCTCCAACTGTTCATTGTGGTTTTGTACTGTTTGTCGGTCCTTGCGTTGCTCCATGCTATTTTTTGGATTATTGAACTTACGTTTCCTACAGCATTATCTGTTTGCTGCCACAACTACAATATAAGTTAGTTTCAGTTAAGTTAATGGTTTTCCTTGTCTGCATCTTGGTCTACGCCACAACCTTACACACCATTTGCCCTTCTAGTGAATTTGCTAGAATGTCCACACATTGCAAAGCTTGGCAATGGTTTCCCACAATACAGTGAATGAACAGAATAAAATGATTGACAATGAATGTTCCAGACCAGCAATCTGAAAAAATTGTTCTGCTTTGATAGGTGTTCACACTTACTTATAATCAGTTAATCACATGTATTTAATTAGCAGCATCTGGCTGTTACTTACTATCTTAACTCCTATTGAAGCAGTAAGGGTGTACTTAGATTCTCACAGGACTGCTTCTGCATTTTTGTTAAATAATGACATGGTATAATAATGTATGTCACGTATTGTTGCGTACCTGATGTTTACATTATATTCTGATATCTAGTCTTATAAGGGTTATGTTGACGGAAGTTTTACTTTTGTTTAACTATAATTGAACATAATGTTGTTCAGGCTGGAGCGTCATTTCCTGTATATTTCAGTACTTTGACACAACAAGGGAAAAGTGTTAAGATTACAATCAAAGTGGAAGCAGTATTAGAATAAATGTTTTTATAAACCTCTAAGTGTGAGAGTTCAACAAGGGGACAGAGACATTAATTTTTTGTGTTTCAGATTTCTCCATAATTCTTCGATCTGGTAAGTAAAGCATATTCTGTTATTCTTTCTTATGTGATCTATGCTATTAACGTGAAGATTTTTAGTCTTTGTGATAACCATTTGTTCTTCTGGTAGATTATGCGTTGAAATGGAGAGAGCCATTACCTGGAATACAATGGGGACCCTGAAACAGGACGTAATTATAAGACCTTGACTTTACATATTGAAGTATTAATGCATTTGTTTTTTATTTACCATTGATTGATTTGCACACTGATATTGTTTCGCTGACTTGTTGAATGGACATTATATGCCTCACTACTTGAATGCAAACACAAGGCTGTGTTTGTATATTATTTCAGTACAAACTGTGTTTTGAATTTATCTTTGTACTGTGGATTCATAACTGTGTAGACTCACAAATTATCATGGTTAGTGCTGGCCAACCGTGGGGATGTGAGGAAGAAGGACCCAAATGCTGGACTCTTTATGATAAACAGTGCATTTATTTACAGTGGTGTAAACAATCCACAGAATAATAAATCCCCATGTGTTCCCTTGACTGCCTTGTTGTGTCCTCCACCCACAAGTCCGTGCTCTTCCCCTCCTGTGTGTCCTGGCACCCTGTGCTCTTGTCTTTCTACGCTCCTTCCTGGATAAAATAACAAAGAAGCAACCATCAGGACACTCAACCACTGTGGGTATGCACTCATTTAACTTGGCTCACAAAGACCACTGATGTGGAGTCTCACACAACAATCCCGCGCCGAGGAGCGCTTGGCCACACTCCCCGACGAGGCTTCATTAGCTGCAGGTGTGTGTGATCATCCGCTTCAGGCATGGCCAGCCTCCAGAGGGTAAATGGCCTGATTTGTAAATGTACAGCTTTTCTAGTCCCTAAGAACCCCAAAGCGCTTTACACAACCAGTCATCCACATATTCACACAATGGTGATGGCAAGCTACATTGTAGCCACAGCCACCCTGGGGTGCACTGACAGAGGCGAGGCTGCCGGACACTGGCACCACCAGGCCCTCTGACCACCACCAATGACCGAGACTGTCCAAGCCGGGGCTCGAACCGGCAACCTTCCGATTACAAGGCAAACTCCCAACTCTTGAGCCACGATCGCCCCAGATGGGACATAACTACCAGGCCTGCCTGAAACCCAGTGCTCAGCCACACTCACAGACACACCCACTTGCCTATACATACAAGCATGGAGAACACAAGAACAGCAGTACAGTGCAGCAAACATACATTATATATCAGTCCATAACTGCTCATGGATCCTGGGTCGCTCAGATCCAGGTCCCTGACACAAATAAAACTATGGGGATGTTTGAGTAGTAAGTAATGTTAGAGCAGAAATGGAAATGGGTTTATGGCTGTCATTTCTTCAAAGCTTGATTTGTTTAAAAAAAAAAAGTTTTCATCCTAAGTCTAAGAGATGGCAGCAGAGACTCTGTAAATCTTTTGGCTGCTCCCTTTAGGGCTCACAGCAGATTTTTGTCAGTGCGACTTGTCATACAGTCCCGATCAAAAGTTTAAAGACCAGTTGAAAAATGGCAAAAAAATCATATTTTGCGTGGTTGGATCTTCACAAGGTTCCAAGTCGAGCTTCAACACGCAACAAGAAGAAATGAGAGTGAGACAAAACATTTTTTGAGCATGCAATTTATTGAAAACAACACTTAAACTGAAACAGGCCGTTTTAAAGCTGATCAGAAGTTTAGGACCACACCTGCAAAAAACCCATAAACTCTCCAAAACAGAAATCAAAGTTCCAAACATGAACTCAATAATGAGTAGCTCCACCTTCATTGTTAATCACTTCAAAAATTCATTGTGGCATACTTGATGTAAGCGTTTCCATGAGGTGAGTGGGAACATTTCTCCAAGTGGTGAAGACGGCCACACGAAGGCAATCTACTGTCTGGAACTGTTGTGTCTGGATATGTTCTAGCCTTTTTAAAGGTATAATACGAAGTGATTATCTTTTTGTGTTTACAAACACTGCCCCGCTCAACAAGTGAGCAGTGTCGGTCAAACCAGTTAGAAGATAAATATAGAGAAGCAGCATTAGCAAAAATCCATGAATAATACATAATTATCAGAAATAACATGAAGTGACAAAGTAAATATAACATATTTTTAATCTGTCTAACTTATAAACTTTTTATGTTTTATCTATGTTATATATGTGGGATGGGATTTATGGGATTTGGACAGCTGCATTCAAAAAGAACATATTTCTTCTTCACATACTAAATGCCAAATTCTATAACCTGTTTGTGTGTTTTGATTTTTGAGCTGGCTGTATATATTTTTAAAAAGTGCAAATTTGGGAGTATGGATTAAAACACAAATTCAAAAAATAAACTCTGCATTTCCACGACTGAGATCTCACCTTTCTTCTTTGGTAACGACTGCCACGATTACCACAACTGCAATGGAAACGATAACTAGAACAACGATTGCAGCTCCAATGTCAGTGGGATTCTCTGTTGAATAGAATATGGAAGGACTTTAATAATAGATTTGTGCTGTTACTTAAGAATAAGTGAAGAACAAATCAGTAAGGACCTGGTAGTTGATGCATCTTATATCTCTGATTGAAATAATAAGATTTATCAGTTCCACAGTTGGTACCTTATTACTTTTTGCTCACTTCAGTTATCTATCATGTGTCCCCACTTCAGTGAACCATCTTACTGAGTTGTTAGTAGTAGAGATTTGATTAGTAAATGTGGTAAAATTGGTAAAAGGTCAACATATCCAATATTGTCTCAAGCAACTTACACCATTATAGAAAGAAATCATCAATCAATTAATACTCTGTGGGAAAGCACTTTGCAAAACTGAGCAGAAAAAAGAAAAGTTGACAGGAAGAAACAGAATCAGGGCCATGACATGCTTATCTGCCACAGCAAGCTGGGAGAAAGTTTTGAGTGAAAAGATGATCATGGAGACACAGCAAGCAACATAACACATAACACAGGAAGAGATAATTGGGCAGTCAGGTCTACAGACCTGGAACATGAAGTCACAGAGTCAGAGACAAATGCACAAAGGAGAGTAATTTGTGTTTGCTGTCTTTTGTACACAAGACAAAAAGTTTATTCCATTAATTTCAAGGGTTTTGATGTTAATATTATTATACGTATTATAATAACTGGTATTGATGAATGATTACAGTGCTTGGTGAGAATCTTGTTGTCCTCTTCTAAATAAATAATTCTAGCGATTATGTGGAACTACTGAGTGCCAACTCAGTATGATGCTTTACGTTAATACTGTAGTATTAATAACTACTGTGTAAAAATGCTCCAGTCTTACTCATATTGGTCCTAATCACTGCTCGGTCCAGTTTGGTGATGATGTCATTGTTCACACTATAGAACTGAAACACACAGTGGTACCTCTCCCAGTCTTCAGGTGTGACTGATGAAACATTGAGATCAACACTCGTCTGAAAGGTCCCATCATTGTTGGAAAGGATCTCTCCCAGATCCACACCTTCATGAAGCTCCTCTCCATCTTTCCTCCAGAACATCTCGGCTCTGTCAGGATAGAAACCTGTAGCGTGCCAGCTGACTGGAGAGGAGGGAGTCTTCTGAAGGAGAGACACTGAAGGAAGAACTGGAGAGAGACAGGCAGTTGTTAGATTCTCGTTTGAATTTGACTCTGCTTTAAAATGCCATACATTTTCTCTTTTACAACTTCACATGAGATTCTGTAATTTTACCTGCTGTCTGCAAAAGGTTTCTCCTGTAGTGCACATACTTCTTTAAAAGCCCAGGGCATTCATTGTAATTTAATCTAGGTTTTTCAGCATCCCATCTCAGTTTGGTGATGATAGCCTGTGGTTTTTGAGCGATCCATGTCAGTGTCTGTAGGTCCAATGATAGAAAGCCTTCTCCATCATATCCATACTGATTGAACCCATTAATCTCTTCAGTCTCATCATCCCATTCACATCCATTCATCCTTTGCAAAATATGAACACCTGAAAAGAGACACGGTGACAAAAAACACGGGAAATTAGTGAGATGTCAGCAGAGCTCATAGCCGATATCAGATCTTTGTCATCTGATACAGACACAAAAAAAGAGGCTCTCCTGTTACTAACATAAAAACCAGTCTATCAACTTAAGGACAGTGTCGAAGTGTCGCTTTTTTCTGCTTTTATTCACTGTTCTTATTTTCTTTTCACTTGTCTTCATAAACAATAAATCTCATTACTATCTATTGCATTGTATGCAGTAGATAGTAATATGTATGCATATATATAAGACTTATATATACGTATACATATACAGCAGGATGCAAAAGTTTGGGCATCCCACTGTAGATAGTTTAGTAGATCCGCCTTTTGCAGAAATTACAGCCTCTAAATGCTTCCTGTAGGTTCCAATGAGAGTCTGGATTGTGGTTGAAGGTATTTTGGACCATTCCTCTTTACAAAACATCTCTAGTTCATTCAGGTCTGATGGCTTCTGAGCATGGACAGCTCTCTTTAACTTACACCACAGATTTTCAATAATATTCAGGTCTGGGGACTGAGATGGCCATTCCAGAACGTTGTACTTGTTCGTCTGCATGAATGTCTTAGTGGATTTTGAGCAGTGTTTCAGGTCGTTGTCTTGTTGAAAGATCAAGGCCCAGCACAGCTTCAGCTTTGTCACTGATTCCTGGACATTGGTATCCAGAATCTGCTGATACTGAGTGGAATCCATGTGTCACTCAACTTTGACAAGATTCCCAGTCCTTGCACTGGCCACTCAGTCTCCAGTGTCAGCTGCTCACTCGCTCTCTGCTCAGTCACCAGTGTCACCTTCAGCTCAGTCTCCAGTGTCACTTTCAGCTCAGTCCCCTGTGCCCCCAGTGTCACCCGTAGCTCAGGCTCCAGTGCCTCCACTGTCACCCATAGCTCAGGCTCCAGTGCCTCCACTGTCACCAATAGCTCAGGCTCCAGTGCCTCCAGTGTCACCAGTAGCTCAGGCTCCAGAGTCACCGCTAGCTCCGTCACTCATTCTGTCACCAGTCTCACACATTCAATCTATGCAGGGAGGTAATCTAAGTTCCAATCAGGGAGTTTCTCGCGCTTTTGCAGCTTCGGGCACAGTTATGCACTCCAGGGCCTCCCCAGAAGCTAGGTTTCAGTCCCCGGCTATTTCTGGACCCCTGAAGATTAAGCAGCCCTCAGAGAACTACTCTGTGTCAGCACCGTCTGGGCAGAGCTAGTGCCCAGCTCAGCACCAATTGCCTTCGTGTCTGCCAGTGGACTCCATGCCTGCTGGCTTTGTGATGGCTTCTGCTGGAGGGTCCGTGGGACCGCTCCGGCCTTCGTCTCCTGTCTCAGCTGGAGGGTCCAAGGGATCCGTCCAACCTGTTGCGCCGCCGCCTGGAGCGCCTCCGTCTCGGGGCTTCCATGCCGCCGCCTGCAGCGCCATTCTCGCCTGGTCCAGCTTCAGAGTCTTCAGCCTCGCCTGCAGCGGCCTCATCATCCTCGCCTGCAGCAGCCTTTGCTTCGCCTGGTCCAGCTTCAGCTTCTGCTTCGCCTCCAGCGTCGCCTGGTCCAGCCTCTGTGTCTTCGCCTCCAGTGTCGCCTGGTCCTGCCTTGTCTGGGTCTGCAGTTAACCGGCCACTTTCCAGGCTATTGGTCGGGCGCCATGGCCGTCGTGGGCGGCCCCCAGACCCCCTTCGCCTGAGTCGCCACCGTTGCCGTCCACACGGTCGGCCCCCAGACCTCTTTCGCCTGAGTCGCCGCCGTTGCCGTCCGCACGGTCGGCCCCCTGAACGGTTCGGGCTCCTGTTTTGTTTTGCTCCGAGAGTCTTCCGTCCTCGTGGCTGGTTCGTCTGTGTTGTTCCCCTCGGTCTCCCTGCGTCTCTCCGTCCGTCTCTCTGTGTATTTCCTCATAACTCCCCGCATCTTCGCTCTGGTTTGTTTTGTTAGTTTTGCCCAGTTTAGGTTTTCCAGTTTCATGTTCACCCGCCATTTCTGTTTGTATCTACTCCTATTCAATAAATACTCACCTGCACCAGAGCTGCCGCATTTTGGGTCCTAACTTCAACTCCACACGTCCACCACCCCGGACGTGACACTGCCAGTATTATGATTTATTATTGTTAGTATTATGAGACCTGCAACCAAATTGAAATGGCTAAAATATGTAAAACATGTCAAAACATTTTTTTTCTTTTTGGTTCAAACACAAAAATAAGCTTCTTCAGTCAGCATGTATTGATCAGTCTCATCAGTTTAAACCTGCGATCAGTCCTCTCTGTTCTCCATTATCAACTGCTTTGTGTTTTCATGAACATACTCAGTTTCACTGCTCTCACTCCATTATTTTCCTGAAAATCCTAGCTCCTGTACTGCTGAGCTCAGACTCATCATTGAGCTCTGCTCTCAAAAACTGACATAGTCCGTGTGTGATTTAAGTGCTTAAAGCTTTTAAAACATGTTTAGCGCCATCTTCTGTCAGAACAGAATGTGACATCATCGAGTTGGTTCAATCAAATTCATCACATTATTTATTCAACAGAATTCATTTAGTGACGACATTTTAACTTAAGTAAATTAAAAGTAAATATAATTTTTAATATTTTGCAGCCTTAGTTTTAGTAGAAATATTTTAGCGATTATTTAAGATGTAAGGAAATGAGTGCAAAAAGAGATCTAATTGAGAATGTTTTCATTTTATCATCAGGATACTTAACCTTAATCTACTAAAGTTTCTCAAATGTACCAAAAATGGTCATAGGCATGAGCCGATATAATCAACACCAGTGTTGTACAAATGCTAAAATATTGTATGGACAATGGGTCCAATATTGTAGCATTTGTACAACACTGGTGCTAAACAATTACTCTTAGGGGTCCTTTAAAGTTTGATAGCTTTTCACATATTGTTACTGTGACAATAAAAATACATAATTAATTTGAAGCAATATTTACAGTACTCAGCATTTTTGAAAAAAGCAACAGAGATCTACAGATACTTTAAAATCCCCTTCTTTTTCACCTACAGCAGGAATACCATCAGCTTGTATTAAACATTCAGAAGTTCAGAACTTCTAGCAGTGGAATTAGCCTTTATTTTTTAACCTTTTCAGTTTCTCCCTCAGAGTTTCCTGTTGGTCCTGTTGTTGGAGGTGTTGTTTTACTCCCCCTTGGATTCTTCATCTGGAGAAGAAACAATAATGGTGAGATTTAGCAGATTTTTACTCCAATTATGAATTAGGGATTAAAGCTTTTAATAGTTATAAGTGCTGCAGTTATTTAGGTGATATTTTTAGTGAGTTATTTGATCATTTGTTTTTGGTAAGCTCCAACCTGTTGATCATTTTGTTTTTCATTCTTCTGTCTGTATTTCAGTGTTCCCACTTGAACACAGTGTGTAATCTCCCTGTAAAATGCAGCAACTTGATTTTACTTTCTGAGCAACTGATATTCTTTCACTGTAACAGGAGAAGTTTCATTTTCTCTTCATTTGTCTCGACAGGGGAGGAGTGAAGGTTGGAATTGATTTCAAGAGTGCTGTTGTTTCTGAATAGGGTGTAACAACCACTGAATCATGCAGCATACACACAGTATGTATACAGAACACAAACAGAATGACTGCTGGTTTACTCTGAGGACTCTGTAATCAGTCTGGTCAAAAGATCCACCAGCATGTTGATGGCATTAACTTCAAACAGCTCCAGGATCAGCAGAGCGGACACCTTTCATGTTTTTTCATTTTTCTGCATCTATAACATACATTTATTGAATTTATCTATAGCTTAAATTTATTTCATAATTAACTGTTTTGTAACAACAGCGACTTTTACTAGTTACTACGTTGTGTTGTCTTGTTTGTGTTGTGCGCAGTGCCGAAATGGGACAGTTTCCAGTTTTGTTGGACTATTGTACTAGGTATGACTGTGCAATAAAGAGTTATCTTATCTTTAAGACTGTCTATAAACACAACTTTATAGGTAGATCAAAGTTTATCACCTTCATTATGACCGTGGTTATATTGTTCAGTTTCAGTTTTATTTGTCATATGCAAGTTAGCACAGGGTCATCATGGCAATGAAATGTATTTGACGAGCAGCAGACAGTAAATGAGCAGTATAGTAAGTAAAAAAAATAGTAAGAGCAAAATGTTTATAAAATATAGTAAAAAGAAAAAAGTTAACAGGATAAATGTGTATAGATATATATCTATATATGACGGACCTATGGATTCTTCGATATCCATCTATATATATATATATATATATATATATAGATATATATATATATATATATATATATATAGATATAGATATAGATATATATCGAAGAATCCATAGGTCCGTCATCCTATCCTAAGACAGCACAGAGGCACTAATCATGGCAGCACAAGAACAAGCTCTGAGTACAAGATCCATAGAGGCTGGGGTCTATCACACCAGGCAAGACCCCAGGTGCAGGCTGTATAAAGATGCCCCAGAGACAATCCAGCACATAACAGCAGGGTGCAAGATGCTAGCAGGCAAGGCATACATGGAACGCCATAACCAAGTGGCCGGCATAGTGTACAGGAACATCTGTGCCGAGTATAATCTGGAAGTCCCGAGGTCAAAATGGGAGATGCCCCCAAGGGTGGTGGAGAATGACCGAGCTAAGATCCTGTGGGACTTCCAGATACAGACGGACAAAATGGTGGTGGCTAACCAACCGGACATAGTGGTGGTAGACAAACAGAAGAAGACGGCCGTAGTGATCGATGTAGCGGTTCCGAATGACAGCAATATCAGGAAGAAGGAACACGAGAAGCTGGAGAAATACCAAGGGCTCAGAGAAGAGCTCGAGAGGATGTGGAGGGTGAAGGTAACGGTGGTCCCCGTGGTAATCGGAGCACTAGGTGCGGTGACTCCCAAGCTAGGCGAGTGGCTCCAGCAGATCCCGGGAACAACATCGGAGATCTCTGTCCAGAAGAGCGCAGTCCTGGGAACAGCTAAGATACTGCGCAGGACCCTCAAGCTCCCAGGCCTCTGGTAGAGGACCCGAGCTTGAAGGATAAACCGCCCGCAGGGGCGTGCTGGGTGTTTTTTTTTGTTTTTTTTTATATATATATAACGTGACTCCAAAAAGCAACTCAGCACACAGTTGGTCCACCTCCAGAGAAAAGATGGAAATCATTATCTTACAGAGCTGCTACTTGGACCACACCTGACCAGAACCACATTAACAGCTGAGGGTGTGCAGTTACATTTTAAAAATATTAAATATTTTTAGTCTGCAAAAAAGATTTGGAACAAATTTGTGGTTTTTCCATTAGCCATTTTCGATTACATTTTATTTAAATTTATTTTAAATGGCATTAGTCATTGCACTTGTCAGTATAATTAATTTTTAACCGAAGTGATAATCAGTGATGGAAATAACGGTGTTACTTTTTTCAGTAAATAGTAACCTAACTAATTGCTATTTCTATCGTTACAACGCCATTACCATTACTAACAAGAAAATGTGGTGGGGACACGTTACTATTTTTCGACACAAATGCGGTTGAAGCTTTCTTGAGCTTACCGGGAGCTAAGGGGGCCAAACAATCGCACAAGTGCTACTGATTGGCTGAGAAAGAAAAATAGTCATGTTAAACAAACCACAATTTAAGATGACCTAGCAACCCCGAGTGTCCATTTTTATGATTTTTATGAGTTATGATAAAAAAAAATATATGTGATGTTTTTTCCTGAATACTGTCGTCATTTGCTGTCTAAGGATAGCACTAGCAAGCACAAAAAACATGCCCTTTCCTATTGCTGGCAAAATGTACCATGTACAGAATATTGTAACTCAGTTACCAACTCAATTACTTTTTTGAAGAAGTAACTATAACTAATTACTTTTTCAAATTAACTTGACAAACACTGGTGATAATTTTCTGACTATGTGTATCTATGAAAGTAATACAACGTTCTATCATTATTTTTATTGTATTATTTATACACTTTGTAGACACCTTGGCAAGCATAAACCCATGGAGTACTTATTGTGAATATTCTGTTGGAATGACTGATCTTCTGAACATGCTTGAGGCAGGATCAGAAGTCCATTAGTTAAGTCATTGTTGGAGTAGATGCTGTAGTAGACAGTAGAGTAGAAATCCTGAGTGTTCAGTGGGCATTATTGCTGAAAATGTCAGTTATTCCCTGAACTGCCATGTTCATCATAATGTTCCTTTCTTAGAAACGTTTCACTGTTTTAAGCCCAGAGCTGGCAGTGTGACATGGACTTAGGTGGCCTTAGCTAGTTGTTCCCCGTGAGACGACACGATTTTAGCACTGGCCACCCCCCAAAATTTGCTGGTCTCCCCATTGGCCCCCCCTCGCAAGACTGTCCTATTTGGTAATAATTCTTATAAACATAAGAACAAATATATTTACAAAAGCAACTTGATCTCCATTTCTGTCTTTTGCAACACAGCAAACAGTTCTGCAGCATCAGGAATGTCTGTCCCCTTGTTGACCAGACTGTCAGCCTTACTCTTAAGGGCTCCTCCTACACCATCCGGTGCACTCTTTCCGTGGCTCGCTTCAAAGAAGTTCCATGTGCCAGCAGTGAATCCTCGTTTGAACAGTTCAGTAGGAAACTTGAAAAAATTCCCTTGCTGTCTATACTGAGAGCATGAGCCATCACTGCAAAAATGGATGGTGGAAACCTCTGGATGTGCCATTTGTACCTAATCAAGCACTGGTGACAAGTGCTTCCAGCAATCTGGCAGCACTTGTCACAAGGCCCTTAAGACTTGATGGAGACACTGTGCAGAAGGACATTGGATGGGAGGATGTATGTACATAAAGTACACCTGTATGGAGCGTTGCCTGCTGGTGTGATGCTCTGAAGTGGACTGCCTGTATTTCTATGCTGTACGTGCAGAGGTAATTTCTTTAATTTGTTTCTGAAGGTTCTTTAGGGTTTTTTGGCTTCTTATCCTCCCTTGATTGCATTGCCTAGAAGGAATATGTGTGTAACACCTAATTACACTTTGCAGATGTTAGAATGTACTGTTACATTAATCTCTGCAACCAGATTTTTGTTCTTTTCATACTGCAATGCAATAATTTCTATTTTTTATTAGCTACTAAATTCTAAATTTGGCTGTTGCACAACACTTTGACAACACAACATATACACTGCTGCCTCATTTGCACATTTTCTTTGACACTTGATAATTTTCATAAACTGGTCACAAGTCATGGATTGAACTGGTGATAGCTGGGGGCTGTCAGGAGGGGTAACACTAAAGCTTCTTTTCTGCCCTTGATATCATGATATGTCTCTCTACACTTTTTGCATTGTCTGCGCTTTTCTCCCTCACTTAATTCATTGATCCTTTTCTTACTGCCTAATTGAAGGTCCTCCCTGTATTTTTCTAGTTCCTTCTCTAGATATCTTTCCCTCCTCTCTGGGTTGCCATCACATCAAGTACGATAGCGCCACTGCTTTTCTGCAGCACTAAATGGTTGCTTGGCTCAGTATTTATTTATATAAATCATTTATTTATATCAGGCAAATAAAGTAATGTCAACTAATAGTCACATTAATAAATCATTTAATCAGTGGACTCACTCCAGTTACTGGTACTCGGTACTCTTTAAAGGAGTAACAGGATATAGTTGTTAGCACACAATTAAATACATGGAATATTGCCACATGGCATCCTTGCTAATAACATGAGGATACTGAGCACATTCTAATGATTTACAAAAAATACTGTATTTTTTAAAATGAAGACATAAAAACCAAGATATAATTAAGGTATGTTGACATTTACCTTTTCAGCCATACTTAAAATATTATCAAATATACAGAAAAATAAATGAGAGAACTTGCTATTTTTCTTCCAATCATTTTAAAAGATACAACTGATGCAATGTTTATAGACAGAGGACAGGTGACAAATGCTGCTTTTTTCAGTGTTTAAAGTAGTTTTTATTAGTTCTTCATAACATATATATCTTAAATTTGCAATTACATCAACATGTGTGACATTTTGCTTAATAAGAAAATGCATTTTACAGTTAATCTTCATGCAAATTATAAATATAATTTCCACTGTTTGGAAATGGCACTCAAATCGGTGGAATGACCCTCAAACTAACCAAGGTTTCTAAATGATGCAGGAGAACGGATAGTATTGACTTCCAGGAGGGCTCCATCGTTTTGACCTCTAAAGCCCACACTGAAAACTAAATACTGAAATGATTCACATAAGCACCCAAAGACTAAAATATACAGTTTGGAAATTTTTTAGTACGGAGATAAAAAAATTCATGTTTGTCTTATTCAGTAACAACTGTATCACATGCTGGTCAGAAAAAATGCTGTTATAAGAATGATAACATGGCAAGCAGCCTTCTTTGCTTCTAACTTGTTAAGCTAAAAGTGTGTATACATATCCATAGGGTGCTATGCTTGTTTATGTGGCATCTCCATTTAGTCTCTCAGAAAGTTCAGATATGTTGCCAGAAGCTGTAAAGTCCAAAACGCACTTTTAGTTCACTCATTCTGGATTAGCTTTTATCAACATAAACAAAAATATATAGGTACTTACAAAGTGCAGAAGGTTTTTCTGAAATAAAGGGAAACACAAATAATTTCAAAATTCCAGACAAATTTTTCAGTCTGTATTAGAACATCCGGTCAGTAAATTTGAATCGCTCACCTTTTTTCTTTTTGCAAACAGCAACACCAACAGCAGAAAAGAGGATGAGAACAAGAAGAATCACTGCAGCAATGATGGGGATGACTATGTCAGAGGCCCTCTCTGCTTAGTAAAAAACAAGCACAGAAGATAAAATCTGCAGATAAATCAGGTTAAAATAGAACAACATCCATGGGAAGAAAATGCAAACTCCACACAAAAAGGCTTCAGCCAGAAGGTGGACTCAAACCCAGTACCTTCTTGCTGTAAGGTGACAGTGCTAACCACCATGCCACCATTTTGCTTCTGCAAAGGTTTCTATGAGTTGTTTCTCCCCCAGGGTCCAAAAAGTGAATAAATTACACAAAACATTCCATCATCACTTTATAGACAATTCACAGTATCAGAAAACAAAATGAGTAAAGTGTTTCTCTCACCTTCATTATTATTTTTTTTGTTTTTGCCCCAGTTGGTCTTGACCACTGTTTTGTCCAGTTTGGTGATCATGTCCTCGTTCACACCAGAGAGCTGAAACACACAGTCGTACCTCTGCCAATCTTCAGGTGTTACTGATGAAACATTCAGATCAACACTCATCTGGAAGGTCTCATCATTGTTGGGGAGGATCTCTCTGTGGTCCACACCTTCATGAATCTGCTCTCCATCTTTACTCCAGAACATCTCAGCTCTGTCAGGATAGAAACCTGTAGCGTGGCAGCTGACTGGAGAGGAGGGAGTCTTCTGGAGGAGAGACACTGAAGGAAAAACTGGAGAGAGGGAAGGTGGGAAAAAGGGACATACCAGTAGTTTAGGGTAGGAAAAAAACATAAACAAAAATAACTGAATTGTTTGGTGGTAGCTATGGCATAGCTTCCACAGATTTAGCAACATCAGCAAGTGGTGGAGGCCAGCAGGTGGATAAGGGAAAGGGGAGGACCCGAGGCGGCCGCCGGTCATAGTGGCAGAGGAACTGAACTTCAGGTAAGAAGTTATGACCTGCTGTCTATCTGTGTCAGATATAAACCAAGTTTAGTTGTAGTTTGTTTTCGTTGTGCTGACTTTTTACAGTCGCTTAGAATAACTGGTACTGCGTACTAGCTAGCATGACGGAGTTTATATACTGCTGGGCGGGTGCAGTATGAAGTTACTGATAGTAAATTTTATTTTATGCTTAAGGTTAGTTTCTCAAAATCTTAACAAATTGTGCCAGTCTTACATGTTGCACCAGGCTGATTTATCAATCATAGTGGAGAAGTCTGTGACAGAGGAGACAGAAGAGCAGCAAAGAGAGATGGAGCAAGAGAGAGAAATAAAAGAGCAGGAGAGAGAGATGGAGATGGAGAGATGACTTTATGTCATCCATGAGGGATGCATTTGACATATGTTTCACATATTATAGCCCAACAAGTTACTTATAGCAATTTAAATACGAGCAATCACTTTTTGGCAGACAATCACTTGTTGGCACAACACCGGCTATTGCAGTTAATAATACAACAGCTTTTTGCCATTTTTTTGTGTTTCTTTTTATCGCTGTGTAACTGAGTTCAATTGAAAGCCTGCATGCGCTAGTACCTCTTGCCACAAGTTCCCAGAATCCTTTGCGGTTTTACCCCTGAATGACGTCACATTTTTGGTGGGCCGGTCTCTAGTCAAAATGCCCGGGCCGATTTTTTGTCCCAGTCCAGCCCTGCATTCACACAGTGGTGATGGCAAGCTACATGTAATCCAGTTAAGCTAAATGTAATCCAAGACACAATGAGAGAGATATGGTTACTAAGAACTGTATAAACTGAAATTTTAAACTAATGGATTTACTAAATGAAAAGTCATCGCTTATGCTTATGTCAATCATTCTCTTAAAACCACAAACATTGATATGCATATCATGTAAATCCAACCTACAATTTACCATCATTAGCAGCCGAACTCACCAGCAGGTTAAACTCAAAAAATGTTGGAAAATTACCAGAAATCATTAGAATACATTGTTTGTAAAACACTGATGAACTACACACCTCAATTAAAAAGGTGTTAGGTTATTTCACAAAAAAATAATATCAAACATTTAATGAAGTAAAATTAAAATCACCAAGGAAACATTTATTCAATTAAAAGTTTAGACTACATCAAGTTAGTGTGCTCTGAGTAACTGTTACTATGATACAATTTTAAAAAATGTAAAGAAAACTTGCTTTTTAATGTCTTACTATGCAAATAATATTTCATCCAAGTAGAAAAAAAAGAAAAACTTTAGACTTAAAAAAAAACCTAATTATTCTTTATGTGTGTGCACATTGTCAATACACTGTGGGTGAGCCACACCAAACCCCAAACTTGAATTAATCCCTTCTCTGTAGAAAGCACTTTGTGTCATGGTACAGGGTATTTGTTATAGATTCCAGTAATTCTGTCAGTAATTGGAAAGCAATCCTGCCACATAGTGGAAATTCAAAAATTAGTGGTAAAATCAATGAGCCCTCTCAGGACCTTTGCAACCTTATTGTTGTAAACCATACTAATGGTATCACTAATTTTTAAACTACTGAAGGTTTGAGTGATCACTGTTAGGGCCATAATCCAATAGTGGGAAGAACAAAATTTCACTATAACCGGCCACAGCCAGGGGCTCCCTGCAAGATTTCAGCAAGAGGAGTGAAAAGAATTATTAGAAGAGTTGTCCAAGAGCCAAGGACCACTTGTGGACAGAAAGACCTGAAATCAACAGATATGAGTGTTTCAAAGAAAACAATAAGTAATCCATTCAGTGGCCATGGATCCATTGCTGAAGAAAAAGCATGTTGAAGGGCATTAAAGGTTTGATGAACAACATTTAGAAAAGCCTGTGAAATACTAGGAGAATACAATCTGGTCTGATGAGACAAAAATTAAACTCTTAAGATTAATAGTTTACCAAGCCATCTTTGATCTTTATCTTTTGTTCGCATAGCCGGCAATAAGTCGGACTTGTTTCCAATGGGTGATGGACTCCGCCAGGGCTGCCCTTTATCACCGATTCTGTTCATAATCTTTATGGACAGAATTTCTAGGTGAAGCCAAGTGCCAGAAGGCTTTCACTTGGGTGGTCTCAGGATCTCATCTCTTCTTTTCACGGATGACGTGGTTCTGTTCGCTTCATCGGGTGATGGCCTCCAGCTCGGACTGGAATGGTTCGCAGCCGAGTATGAAGCGGTGGAAATGAGAATCAGCACCTCCAAATCATGGTCCATGGTCCCCAGCCGGAAAAGTGTGGAATGCCCACTCCGGGTCAGGGACGAGTTCCTGCCCTAAGTGGAGGAGTTCAAGTATCTTGGGGTCTTGTTCACAAGTGACGGGAGAAGGGAGATCGATAGGCGGATTGGTGCTGCGACTGCAGTGATGCGGACGCTGTACCGATCCGTCGTGGTGAAGAGGGAGCTGAGTGTAAAAGCAAAGCACTCAATTTACAGGTCAATTTACGTCCCTACTCTCACCTATGGTCATGAGCCGTGGGTAGTGACCGAAAGAACGAGATCACAGATACAAGCGGTGGAAATTGGCTTCCTCCAAAGGGTGGCTGGACTCTCCCTTAGAGATAGGGTGAGAAGTTCGGCCATTCGGGAGGGGCTCAAAGCAGATCCGCTGCTCCTTCACATCGAAAGAAGCCAGTTGAGGTGGTTCGGGCATCTAACAAGGATGCCTCCTCTGCGCCTCCTGGGTGAGGTGTTCCGGGCATGTCCCACTGGGAGGAGGCCCCGGGGCAGACCCAGGACATGCTGGAGAGATTATATCTCTCGGCTGACCTGGGAAGGCCTTGGTGTTCCCCCCGGATAAGCTGGAGGAGGTGGCTCGGGAGAGGGAGGTCTGGGCTTCTCTGCTTAGGCTGCTGCCCCCCTTATCCGGTCGGCCCCAGATAAGCGGAAGAAGATGCTGTACCCTTAAAAATAAACAGCTGCACTGACAGCACGCTCATCAGTTTTATTATATATTTTACAGATCTTTAATCACAGTTTTTTCATCATTTAATACTATCTCTGACTGGATTAGGCACCACTCATAGGGATTATTTTGTTTGGAAAAATTAATCACTGCCCTTTTTATGTGAGCAAACACAGAGCCTGAAACAGAAAGCTGACAGCCACCATCATAATACCTGTTATCTCCAACAGGAGCATTGGGTTTTGTCAAGCAGGCTAAACCAAAGAAAGGATGGCTATGTGGAACTTTATTCACAGTACAATCTTCAGACTGCACAAAGTCAAAAACTGACATGAAGATAAAACCTCTTCAGCAAAGAATAGTTCTGTGCTTCCTTGATTATAGTTCTTCCAGCAAGCTCCTTCTCCTCTAATCATAGCTTTTCAACTGTCAGTTGGTTACACCTGTGTCACTAAAGCAATTTGGGTCTAACATGATTTGAGATTAAAGCAGGAATTAAACTCTGGCTCCAACAATAAGCCCACAGCACCATTGTTCTGTTTTCTCCTCACACCCCTACTTCTCTGCAGTTAAGTATTCGCTTCCTTTCCTGTTGCAGTTTTTCACAGTCCCGATCATGGCTTCTCTTGGCACTCACATCCATAACTGTTCCCGTTTCCTCTGGTGTGAGTTACGCTTTCACTTTCCTAATGTTGCTCTTGTCTCCTAGTAAGAAAAATAAACCTCGTACATAGTTGGTTGCAAACTTGTGTTGAGTCTGCTTTTTGTGTCCAGTCTTCGTGAGATCCTCAGTTCTTAACAGAGTGGATGATGTTCTTGCCAGTAAAGTAAAAAAAAAAAAATTGCTTTTCTCTTGAGAACTCATTACTTGAAAACGCAACACATCTGTCCAAGGCAAACAGATTTATTTGTGAATGGGTGAAGTCACAATTACTGTCCTGTACTGTGAACCTTTTCATGTCACCTACTACACACAGAACGCGTTGTATTTTTGCGAAATATTTGTCCTGAAATTAAGTTGACATAAAGTGATGATGAGCTGGCCGTGATGTGCTTAAACAAAAACAGGACGCAGGGAGAATTCTGTAATTTGACCCATGAGTTGAAGCTGTATCACAGCTTCAGGATATCAGTGGAACAGTTTGAACTCTTGCTAGCTAGCAGAGTTTGGAATACATCTGAAGAGGCAGAGCAATCACTCCAGAGAGCTGAGTGAGTAAGACCAGTGTTTAGTAAGTAAGTAAGTAACATTTTATTTATAGAGCACATTCCTATATAAAAGATCACAAAGTGCTTCACAAAGTATAAAACAAAAACAGACAGAAGTTAACAAAATGCAATTCTAAAAAGACGTGTTTTTAGTTGTTTGTGTGTCTGAGGTAAAATAGTATAATTTTACTATTTCCGTATTATTCAGTACCGGTGTGCAATTTCAGCTATGAGCGCACTTGTTGCCAAATGATCTGATTGGCTAGATCTGCTTATTCTGTCACAGTGAACAAGCGGACTCCACACAAAAGACCTCTGAGATGTCTTAGTTAAAGAGAGCATTGAAGGAAGGACATGGTGCGATGGATACCAGGGTGACAGGTGAACTTAGCGGTTGGTATTGTACCTGAGACCAGATGGTGGCAGGAATAAAAAAGCAGCCCAGGAAGACCAGTCCCCAGGTCAGGTCAGATCATTGCGTCTCCTGTTAGCACGACGCTATCACATTAACGAACTAACGCGTTGACGCCGTGCAGCCCCACGCACAGAGTGATCCGCGTTAACTCGCTAACGGAGATTTGCCGCATTAATGCGGATATGGCGTTAACGCTGACAGCACTAGTTATTTTGTTCGGTTTTG